GAGGAGTAATTATAAGCCATTGGATCAAAATTTATGACTAAGATTAGGAGAGAGAAGAAAGAGTAAAAAAAAGTTAACGTAATAAATGAGGAGAGAGAAGTAAGATTTAGAAGAAAAAAAATAACTTCATCAATGAATCTCAACCATCCAATGTAATCTAAAGGCTAAAAAGAAACCCTCTCACTCTCACATAAGAAAGACTTTCTCATGAGATATGGCCCCTATATATATATATATATATATATATATCTATATATATATATATATATTATATATATATATATATATATATATAAATATATATATATATTATAATTTTCTAACATTAAATAAACAGATTTGTTAATCGAACTGATCAAACCCAAAATTCGCGAACCGCCCAAACCAAACATTCTTGTTGCTTTTCGACTTCTTTATTTTTTGGCAATCTCAAAACATGTTTTCTTTCACTTCATCAACAAATGTTTTAAGGTATACTTCAACAATATCCACCTTGACTTGAAACCGCGTTGATGTCAATTTAACCATCAACCATATTTTTGCTCTATACCATATTGAAACACTATTCAATAACATTCATCAAGTTCAAGATATCCTTGAACCTTGATCTTGCCACTTGCATCTACCTGTTTCCAATCAGCTTTTTCTGCCTAAGTAATCTGACATGCCCACAAGCATGATTTTTCAATGATCGCTAACTCCATCTGCTTTCGAACGCATCCATGAAGGTCTCTGTTTCTGTATTTTACCCCTTCAGCCACATTCAAAGTATAACATCCAAGGCTAACATAATCATCCCTTTGAGATGCTACAATCCTTGTTTTTACCTTATCATGAGTCAAGTGATAATCAAAGATATCTGTAACTGTTCCCTCATTACTACCAGTATCTATGGTAGGAAACTCCACCTCAAATTGAGTTTTCTCCGTTATAGTTTCTAAAAGGTTTATCCCTTGGTTTTTACAATTCTTCCTCTAAAGAAATTATCTACCAACCAATTAAGTTTCTTTGACATCAACCATTCCCCAAAAACTCAATAACAACTAAGCGGTCACATGCATTTTTATCCCTTATTTTCTGCAAAATTCATCATATTGTTCTGAAACAGCCTCAAGGAATTCATAACGCCTTGACCTCAAATCCCATAGCTATTTCTTGTCATGAAATCCTCCACTAGTTATTGATGAATGAATAACAGTATTTGAACTTTAGAAAATATATATACCACATATTTTATACCCTTTATAAATAATCACTTCATCATGCGAAATCATCAACACTCATGTTCAACTCTAGTGCAATAGCCTAAATTATCAAACATACTTATAAATAACAAATTTCGCTTGTGTTCTGGAACATAACTCACACTGTGAATAAGAAACTCATAAACTTAAACATAATTATGTGATAAGAGAAACCTGAGTCAATAACCCAACTATCTTCAATTTCCAAACTCGACACTACTATTGCATCAACATCCTAATAACCATCCTCGTCTAAGGCAACCACAACTTGAACAAAATCATCATTGACCTTTCTCTCTGGATAATGCTTCTTGAAGTGACCAATTTTCTAACAATTAAAACATTTTACCTTTAACTTATCAAACTTCTTTGATTTATATATCCCTCTACGCTCAATTCATCCTCTTGAGACACTCAAGCCTTCACCACTATCTTTAATCTTCAAATCTTTCACTTTTGAAAATTCTTTGGATTTTACCATCGTATGGACTTCATCCAAAGTGATAAACCTTCCTGACCATAAAGAAGGGCATCCTTAAAGTGCTTAAAGGATCTGGATAATGAGTTCAACAAGAGTAAATCCTTGTTCTCATCATCAATCGTCACTTTAATATTCTCAAGATCATCAATAATCTTGTGAAAGTTTGTAAGCTACTCTAGTATGGATTTGTTCTCCACCATTCGAAATGAATATAGAGTTGTTTCAGACACAACCTGTGAGCCAAAGACTTAGTCATATACAATGATTCAAGTTTTGCCCATATTGAAGCAACAATTTTCTCTTTGGCGACTTCTCTTAGAATATTATCCCTGAGGCACAAGATAATACTCCTGACCTTATCCATCATCTCAGCCTTCTCTACTTTACTAAGGTGTGCAGAAATAAATCTTAAGTTAAAATTTCTTGCATATTCACTTTCCACAATCCAAAATTATTGTCTCTGAAAAATTCTGCAATCTCCCGTTTAGCCATGGTGTTATCTTGTAAACGATACCCCTTTCCCCACGGTGGAAAGACTTGTTGTGATAATGACAAGGTTCAATTTCAATCAACACTTTGATATGTGAGGCAAAGAACAATAGCAACCAAAATAAATGGCCTTCAACAATAATAACCAACAAGTAGAAATTATAATAGAATAAAGCGAAAAAAGATAAAAGGTTTGTTTATCCAGTTTGATCAAAAGATCTACTATGGGGGGAGAGGGCAACTATCCAATTCACTATATTCAGAAAAGTTGTTACTAGAGATTAGAGATGAGTTACAAAAAAATAGCCTTCGCCTTTAGATTTTCCAAGAACAAACTCTTTTTTCTACCCAAGTATTTCCCAACCTCTATAACTCTGAATAATGTAAGCACACAAACTCAAGGTGTAAACAAGTGTTTCCCAAAACCCTTGTCTTTCTAAGTTTTTCTTTGAGAAAACCTTAAACCCTTTTGCCCAACCCTTTTGCTGTAACCTTTAAGATTGTCACATTGTAAGATATTGAAGAAATACATATTTATAATAGCAAGTCCAACAAACAAAGCCCAAAAACACAACCCATTAATTATTAGAATAAAATATTATAAATATCTTATAATATATATTCTATATTAATTTATACTATTTCTAAATTAATATATATCCAATATTCTAACATTAAATAAACGGATCCGCAAACCAATCCGGTCAAATTCAAAATCTGGGAGCCGCCCAAACCAGACATTCTTGTTGCTTTTCTGCGTCTTGATTTTTGGCAATCTCGAAACATGTTTCATTTCTCTTCATCAACAAAGGTTTTACGACATACTTCAACACTAATAACATGAAATTGTTTGTAGACAATAAGTCAGTTATCGACCTAGCCAATCGTCCTATATATCATAGTCGAAGTAAACACATAGAGAGGAGGTATCATTTTCTCAAGGATCAAGTAAATAAAGGGAAGCTTGAACTTGAGCATTGCAAGACTAAATGATGACTAGTTGATATACTCATCAAACCCCTGAAGAAAATCGACGAGTTGAATAAAAATATTGGGATGAGAAGTCCCGAAAACATGAATTAGATGGTGTTTTAGAAGTTATAATTCATTGTTTTGTAAAAATGTCTTTATTCGACATAGGTGTGTTCGACCTAGTCGAAGTAGTAGTAGAAGTTAGTTGTATTCGACTAAGTCAAATACAATATTTAACTGTTGTGTCGAAGTCAAAATATAATATTATATGTTTTGGACTTAAGTCTTAATCGCTTATAAATAGATATGCTATTGGAATAATTTTACATTGAGCGTTTAACATCTTTAATAATAACAACTTCACAAAATTCAAAATACATTTTTTCTCTCTTCTTGTTCTTCTTTCTTATCTTTCTTAAAACCCTAATTATTCTAATAGGTGTCACACACCCAAACTAAAAATCGAAGCCTTTTTTTAGTAGTGAAGCCAAAATAATAATTGAATCGCGTGTCATTTTATTTCATATGAGTTTAAAGATAGCGCACTGTCAGTGTAAAATAATTTTACATATACAACCAATTAAAAAGGGAAGGGAGGTGTGTATAAGTAAAACTTAGGGTGTAATTAGGAACCATCTTATATAAAGGGAAACCGAAGCCCAATGTTTCTGTTTCTTGAATCTTTAGCATCAGAATCAGAATCAAAAGAACCCTCGTTGTTCTGCTGACTTTGAGGTAACCTTCTCCGTGACTGTCCAAAACCATCGACGGGTACCCTAACAATTCCTTTTTCTGTTTCGCGCTGTCACTTCTTTCTATTTCAAATTATTTTCATTATTATGCTTTCAGATTCGATGCATTGTTGAAAACATGATAATCGCTTATCCTTTTTAAGCTGTTTTAATTAGGGTTAGTTAATTAGTTAAATTCGATTAGTCTGTTTGTTAAGTCACTTACTGTGCGAATTCAGTTTCAGCATAATGTCGGAATCGTCTTCGGGTCTCTGAATCTTGATTAAAATTAATCATAATTGCGTTTTTTTGTTTTCATGGATGCAGTGGGGGTGTGTTCTTATGGCTGATAATGAGGAGTTGTCGATGCCGATGCCGAGGGATGCCAAGATTATCGAGTCTTTGTTGAAATCGATGGGGGTAGAAGAATATGAACCGCGTGTTATTCATAAATTTCTTGAGCTATGGTATCGGTATGTTGTTGATGTGTTAACAGATGCTCAGGTGTATTCAGAGCATGCTACCAAGTCTGCAATTGATGTGGATGATGTTAAGCTTGCCATTCAATCGCAGGCTAACTTCAGCTTCTCGCAACCACCCCCTCGTGAGGTAATCTTTTTCATAATTCAGTGTTTACTCATTTTCATATCTGAATGTTGGATTATGTTTCATGTCAATTGTCACGAAATAGAGGGACATTTTTTTGTCGTTAAAAACTAAACGAGTGTTGTCGGTTTAAGTAAGTGTCTTAGAAATCTTAAACAAGTTGCTGAAAATCTACAAGTGGCAAGCTAGTATGATAGAGGATGACGCGTTTATCTGAAATCTAGACTATACCATAAGTGTAGTCAAGATCGAGTGTTGGATCCTAAGATCTTACGTGCCACGACTGCCAAAGCGTGCTACAATCACAACAAGATTGTTTTTGCCACCAGTGTGGTGAAGATCATGATCTTTGAAGCAAGATCGTAAAAAAAATGCTGGATTTTTTTCCGCCACCAGCCCCGGTTTACTTTAAGTGGAAAATCAGTGCTTCATCTAACCCTAAACCACAGTTTCTCAAACACAAAAGCTGCCTCTTTTTGAGTTTAGTCTTTTGAAGATGATGGTTATGTCTTTTGAATACTTAAGATGATATCTTTTGAACTTATGAAGTTATGGAATGATGATTATGAATTATTAACTAAATTGGTTGAAGGTTGTGATGTGATTTATAGGCTTTTTTTTCTATTTATTATAATTTTCCTCTTTGGTAGGATCTTACATGTTGTGCTCCGATTATAGTTTTATGATCTTTCACCAGCCAGCCGATCCTACTTAAATACGTGTTTGACTACATTCTATACCATGACTTGTGTAAAATCCACCGAAGAACTAAGTGTGTCTATTTTGTTGAAGTTATTGTCGATTATGGACTGCGGAAAATAATAATCCGTTCAAATTCTGCTATGCTACAGTGCTATTGTGTCTCTGTATCTATTACAAGACATCATTTTATACTAAATAGTGTATATCGGAACAGTAACGCAATAGTGTTGCTTTAGCCGCCGTTTAACACAGTGATTTGAGCTGCTTAGTTGTTACAATTTGTTCATAAAGTTATTGAACCGGATTGGCTATGAAGATGCATGTAAAGTTGTAAATTATTCTTGTTATCTTCATTCCTCTTATATGAAGATCCATTTTGTTAGTTACCGACTCATGAACTGCAATTAAAGATGATGATATGTTGAATGTAATCACTTTTCAGGTGCTTCTGGAGCTAGCTAAAAACCGCAACAAGATACCATTACCAAAATCTCTAGCACCTGGCATTCCACTTCCGCCCGATCAGGACACATTAATCAGTCCTAACTACCAATTTGCATTTCCAAACAAAAGATCTGCAGAACCTATAGAAGAAACTGAGGAGGAAGAACCTGCCAACGCCGATCCCAACCCGTCCCAAGAAGAAAAGACAGACGCTCAACAAAATCCAACTCAAAGAGTGTCGTTTCCTTTGCCTAAACGCCAAAAGGATTGATCTCAATTCCCATATGTCTCCTAACCGATATGTAACAAAGTACATCAATCACCAATCCGGCGATTCATCGCCAATATGACTGTTTATATAGTTTAGTTGTCATTGTGAAGTGATTCAACATTCTGAATTCTTCATACTATTAAGATATATAAGATACAGTGAATTCGATAGATGCATATAGCATATACTATTGTTTTTGTCGTGCAATAATTTGTGTGATATAATAATTCGTCTCATGTATTAATGATTTGTGATTGATGGGCAAAGAGGACTCAATTGGGCCCCTTAACACAAAACCATGACTTAGAAGATAAGAGGCCCCTAGCACTGAGGAGCTCTCTACTCTAGTAAAGTACTTGCTGTGGCCAAACATGTCTTTACTGGAACTACTTCTATGGTGGGGGAAGTGTTGCATATTTTTCATTTGTGAAAATCATTCAAAAACTTTATTCAAAGAGATACCATTGTTGAAGTTTTGAACCATTTTTAAGTAATGGTCCATTTTATATACGTATGACACGTGTCCATTAAAAAGGTGATGACCCTCTAAATATAAAACCTGTCTTTATGAAAGGAAGAACATTGAAAAATGAAAGCACATAGTAGTGTGACAGCACTAACTACATAAAATTAAACAAAGATTAAAATGACTAATTACATATGAAACGTGATAAGTACTGTACTTTTATTGTGGATTTGGGAAACTGGGTGGAACTTTCTGGCACATAGTATGATGCTAATTTATCTGATTTTACTTTAAGTAGCTAGTTTTGGAACATAATATACTATTTGACATTGAATAATCTACTGTTGCATGGAAAAAAGCATACCTATCTATAATTAGCACAGTCAACCAAAAAATTTAAATTACCAAAAGGTAATGTTTAATTGGTCCTAGACTAACTAGGTCTGCTCATATAAATAATTACTACTACTTGGAGCGTACTATTTTTTACACAAATGAAGTTAAATATTTGTTATTTCAGGCTGTATACATGTAATGCGAGTTTCAAATTGTGATATTTCAGATATTTATTTTTTTAAATATGAAATTTTAGTCACTAAATATATTTACTATTGTACTATAAGTAGAACTTTTTGTATTAAATTTATTTGTAAAATATTTTTTTTAAATAACTTTTTTTGTTTGTGTAATTCTTTAACACGTAATTCTTTAACACGTGTTAAATTTATAAGTTAACAATATAGTAGTACCATATTTTTAAATGCACGAGTTTGTCAATTATTGTTGTCTTGGATAAACCTAATTGTCCAACGCATCAATTCAGCGTACCTTTCAAAACATTTGTCTTCCATCATGTGATTCTTTACCTGCACAATATTTTTTCTATACTACAATAACAATCGAGTACTATGGCTTCGGGTATTAGTTTTATGCTATTTGTCTCATTTAATATTGTTTCATATCTATGCGGATATATCTAAGTGGATATTTATAGATTTTGAAATATCCGCGAATATATATGAATATTCTTTTTATTTGAATATTTAAAAAAAAAATATGATAAATTAAATTTTTTATTTTTTTAAAAGAAAAATAAAATTTCAAATTTAACATATAATAATAATAACAAAAATAAATCACATTTATTTTATTTTTTATATTTTCAAATAATTATATTATACTTAATAAAATAATAATAATTTTATATTCAACAAAATAATAATAATAATAATAATAATAATAATAATAATAATAATAATAATTTTAGATTAAATAAATTAATATTTAAGTAAATTTGTTAATTATTAACGAATATGGATATTTGCGTGTATAGATACTCTCAAATCCATATTTGTATCCGTAAGTAAATGGGTAATTAAATATTTATTTATTTTATTTGTGGATATCCATTAAGACATCATATCCATATCTGTAACGAATTTTATCCGTGGGTATTCACGAGTACGGATTTTTTTTTACCATTCCAAAGTGTATGTTCTAAAATCATGTTAATCGAACTAAAATTAATATATATATATATATATATATATATATATATATATATATATATATATATATATATATATATATATATATATATATATATATATATATATATATATATATATATATATATATATATATATATATATATATATATATATATATATATATATATATATATATATATATATATATATATATATATATATATATATATATATATATATATATATATATATATATCATGCTTAGGTTAATAAATAGTCATATTCATATTCAGATAAAAGGGGAGGGTTGTGTTAGACAGTCGACAACTAACGTAAAATTTTATCGAATTTATATGATATTGATCAATAACAAAATAATATGAATGTTAGGTCATTGTCCAGAAGCAACAGACAATATGACTTAAATACAATGTCAAAAGAGTAAGGGTTGATGCATCGCTGTTTGGATGCAGTGAAACATAAGCAAAGATTCCCACATTTTCCTAAACGGATGTGGGTAAAGAAGTTACTCACTCCGTCTCACAATGAGTGACTCATTTGAAATAAAATAGTGTCCTAAAATGAATGACCAATTTCAATTTCCAATACACTTTTCTAATTATACCCTTTAATTAATTAAACTTTCATCATTTGCAATATATGATTAGAGATACTAAAGTAAAAACATTAATCTCTCTATTAATTTTATACATTTTTCTTAATATGTGTGAAATGGCGGGCTGAGTCATTCATTGTGGGATAGAGGAAGTAGTTAATACTCTCTCCGTAAAGATTTAGAAGCAAAAGTCAAATTTTCACACTTATTAAGAAAATTTAAATGTTTGTGTCTTTTTCGAAATATATTTTATGGGAAGGTGTAAAAACAATTTCAATCGATGGTTGTTAATAGAACAAATGAGAGAGAAAATATATTTAATGTAATTTACATTTAATTTTACATTGGAAAATGTGTATTTTGAAAAAAATGCCTAAATGAAATCACATTAATGTTTTTTGCTTATAAATTGTAACAAGAAAAGTGTGTTTTTTGCTTATAAACTGTTACGGAAGGAGTAAAGGTAAGATTCATTTTAGATCATGGAATAAAAGCACATTTATTGGGGTGGAGATTATTGTGAACAAGAAGTGGAAGAAGGATATTGTATGGGTGAAACAAAGTAGGAGATTGAATCATGACCTTGAAATTTGTAATGGAACAATACACCTTTAATGTTACTAGTTGTTATACACCTCAAATTGGAACAACAAAACACCTTAAGATAAAGTTTTGGTAGGATTTAGAATATTTACTTCAGAATATATCTTAAGGAGATAAGCTTTTTCTAAGAGGATATCTAAATGGCCACGTACAAAATGTAGCAAGAGGTTTTGAGAGTTTGCACGAGGGATAAGGTCTAGGAGATGTGAATTCGCAGGGTAAATCCATCTTAGAGTTTTCGTCAATTTTGGATCTTACTAGAGAAAATACATGGTTTAGAAAAAGAGTGGAGCATTTTATCACATATAAAAGTGGAGTGACATGTTCTCTGATATATTTCTTTCATAATGGAAATTTAGATAAGAAGATTTGCGTGGACTGTAAAGTTATTTTGGAAGAAGCTTGACAAACCAACATAGAGTACTGGTTATGGGTGTCATAGTAAAGCGAAAGCAAAGATAAGTGTTAGAACATAGTTTGATTCTATAACCCTTAATTAGAGTTTTGATGATAACAAACGCAAAGAACAAATATGCACTCTAAATTTGTGTTATTTTGTATGCAGAAGTTCTGACCAAAACAACATCAGAAGTTAAGCTATAGAAGCTTTCAAGCTGAGGTAATCAGAATCTACGCTGAAGAATGATGATCAGAACATGCGCTGAAGTGAAGAATACTCTGATTCTTAACAAAAGTTTCATATACCATCAGATCCTCACATCTCTGAGTCATCAATGTTCTGAAGCAATTGCAGCATGCAATATTCTAAGTTCTGAAGTGTTACTATTCAATAAAGACAACATCACATGCAACGACTTCATTCAGAGAAGAATCTTCTCAATATGGTAATAACATTGAATGTCTGTTATCACGCTTTATGTTGGACATGATTTTCATGCCTATATAAACAAGCTAAGAGGACAAATCATTTACGATTTTGATACTACTGCAACATACCTCTAAAACACTGCAAGCCTACATATTCATATTTATGCTCAAAATTGTGTAAAATACCACAATTGTGATACTGTTTTTGTAAGGAAAAACAATTATACACGAAATACTCTTTTATCTTAATTAAGCTAGTTTTCCTTGAGATTAACTGGGTTGTGGTTGTACTCAAGAAGACTTTGGTAGTTGTCAAAGTAGTGTTGTAATCAGTTTTTGATTAGTGAATTAAGTCCTCGTTAGAGAGAGGCGAAATCACTTTGACGGGTGGACTGGAGTAGTTTGAGATCAAATGAACCAGGATAAAAATATTGTGTCTACTGCGCTTTTGATTTTAAGTCTCAATTCAACCCCCCCCCCCCCCCCCTTCTTGTGTTTTTCACTTCTTCAATTGGCATCAGAGCGCCTGGTTCTGAGTTCATACACTTAACCGTGTCAGTACAAGATCCAAGCTTTACAAAAACACTATGGTGGGACCAAGCCAAAACATCAGCAATGACTATCATGAGGACAAGGACAGAATCAACGGCAAACCTCTAGTCTTTGATGGAGAAAACTTTGACTACTGAAAAGACAGAATTGAGAGCTTCTTTCTGGCTCATGATGTTGATCTATGGGACATGGTAATTGATGGATACACACATCCAGTGGACGAAAGTGGTCAGAAGATAGACAAAAAGGATGCCTGACCAGCAAAAACGTGATTTTAAAAACCATCATAAAACCAGAACAATACTTCTCAGTGCTATCTCATACTCAGAATATGAGAAAATCTCAAATAGAGAGACAATCAAAAACATGTTTGACTCTTTGAGAATGACGCATGAAGGCAACATACAAGTCAAAGAAACCAAGGCCCTTGCGCTCATTCAAAAAT